GGGGGTTAATCTGTTGATAGGGGTAGTATCACATCCAAAAGAAGTGGCAATATTCCCAATTACTCCATGCTTTGGAAACTGATGCGGAGAGAGATGAGTCTTGGCTGGATGGCCCCTTGTTGTACTAAATTACAGACTTAACATGGCTAGTAGCCTTACCAGCTTCACAGCACAATGAGAAAGAGGGACTATTTCCAGTCTGTGTGTTTTTCAATAAGACTTACCTTAAATGTCCTAACAGAGGACTTATCTGAAGCCTTCTTGTTTTTTGCCTGCACTGTCAGTCTTGTAGTGCGGAGTTCTTTTACAGGAGGAGGCTTCACAAAGACACAGTATGGTTTAAACTCTGCTGTTCGTAAAAGTAGCATCACCTACAAACCAGAAATTTTGTGATTCAAGTTGAGGCCATACCACTCTAACTTACAGTTACATTAATTTTCCTTTTGCACAGCATTAAAATATGCAATCTACCTTATTTGTACTTAGTTTTGTGGGTACTTAATTTCATGTTAAATTATACAAATGATAAAAAAATTAATTGCATAATTTAAGATGTGTGAGTAGTGGTAAAGACCTGCAATGTTATAACCAACTTAGCAGAAGTCAACATCAGAGTCAAATGAGGAGTTGCTGTTGGTCAAGTTTTATGTGCCCAGCTCTTTAAAACTGATTGGTCAGTTTCGCCTTGATATTATTTGCGGTAACAGTAAGACTCAAGTAGTATAACTCAGTCCTGACTAGTCAGTTTCAATCCGACATGAAGCCAACCAATCAGTTGAAAGTAAAAGTACTGCTCAAAGTTGAGAGCAACTTTAATTGCAACTCACCTCAGGTTGTACCTTAAGAACACAGGTCTTCCTGGATTTCATAGCTCTGGTTATAGAGTCCTTTGAAGTACCATACAGACAACCTTTATATTCTCCAAATTCTATAAATTTCCTCTTCTGGATAAAATTCTCCATAGTTTGTCTTGATACAAAAAAATAATCCTTGCCATCTGCTTCATAACTCTTCATATGTCTGGACGTGTCTAGACAATAAATATTGTTATGTGCATCCATGGTTATTATTTCAGTAGAAAGTACTGGAATGATCAGCACTCGGGTGCTTGGTGGTAGGAGGACAAAAAATAACATTAATTATGCAACTGAATGTAAAATTTAAAAAAGGTCCTCTTCTTGGGCAGTAATAAGATCACAATTAATTATTAAACTAATATCAAAAGACTTCATTAAAAAAATAAGCTAATCAAATGGGCCATATTCAATGTATTTGAATGTGAGCCAAGAAAATGGGGTTTAATACATGAAGTGGAGGCTTACTGATAATCTTGCAAGAGAAATAGTGATAGCATTATAATAAAAAAGCAAACAATCATAACCTACAATTTTCCTGAGTGGTTTGACTTATAAAGTTTCCCTTGGCTTTTCTCTATAAATTTTAGGACTGATTGAAGCATATATATATATATATCTTAATTTTTTGGAGCAATGAGCTTTTGTTAAAAAAAAAAAGTTTGTGTCAACCCAGATAGTGAAGTTCCCTAAAGGTTGCTCTGATGAAACCAATTAAATTTTCCTTAACCCTTTAGCTCCCAGAAGTGATTAACATCTAACTTCTCCCTATAATATCCATATATTATCCAGTTCACAGGTAGTGAGAATACTCAAATTTATCAAGCAGAAGTTGTTCCCTTGATTGAACACCAAATTCTCAAAACCAATTTACAAGGAAATGTGTAGCAGCTAGAGGGTAGAATTCACAATCAGATCTTTGGAGTTTAAGGGTCAATAGTCCCAGTGAGTGGTTAAAGCTAACCAGCGGTTAAATTGCTCTCCAGTAGATAAGTGATACAAAAACATACTGCTCTATCCACTGGATAGTGATTTAATTGATTAATAGTGTCATCCAACCTTTGAACAACTGGGGCCAGACCAACATATAATTAATAAATAAATAAAAGTAAATTCAATTTGACTTGGTAATCTTACGAGGAACTGTTGTTATGAATCTTTCAGGACTGCTAGACAATAGCATCTTCTTTAACTCATTCCTTCCCACACCTGGAGCTCCTGAAAATAATTTTGAAGCTTATTGTTAAAATCTGTCTGTAACAGTCCCTCTCGTGAAGAAAAAAAAAAATTGAATGTCTAACGGTGTCTCACTTCACAAACTTTTCAAGATTGAGATAGACTTGAAATTGTCTGACTTGTGATATGTACAATTTGGTCACTGTATAACCAAGTTCTAAAAATGCAATTTTCATCTTTTTCCTATAATTATTAGCCAAGATAAAAACCAAATTCTTTCGATAGAGGGCAGACTTTTTGAGGACATCCTTGAATTGAGCACTATTTTTTCATTCCCTCTAGGAAAATTGGTCACTATCTACCTACCAATCAATAAAAGCAGACGCTTTTTCTCTGGTCTTTGCAAATATTTTGCCACTGGTTCATATGCTGGCCAAGCAAGAATTGGTATATCTGCGGTTTAAATATATCAAATCATGTCTTCACTGTTTTAAAATACTTCATCTTAGAAAGTTTTTCAAAACATCAGAACTTTACTTTTAATGAAAAAGTAGTAATTAAATTGAACAACAAAATGTTAAACATGATTGACAAATAACAAATTTTTTGCTAGTTGGTCAAGATCAAGAGAAGGAAGAAATTGTGAAAAAATTTAAAGTACGTTAAGAGATGTAAACTAAACTGCCAACAGTAAAATGAATTCTGGAATATCTGTTGTTCTTTTGATCTGCAAATTATGCAAATGATATATTGAGTATAATAAATACATTACACATAAATTATAATCTTTTTATAGAGACCATCCTAACCTTTCAAGAAATTGCAAAGCACTTTATTAGAGTCTGCTTTTTTCTTCATTTTCTTGAATGGTGAAGTGAGTTTTCCTGTGGAGAAGAAATTGCTCAGGAGTCATGACTGGCTAACCCATTGACTCACATCAGTGGATGACCAAGACAGAATTTCTCCTTACAATATCAATACAATATCAAGCGGATAAATAATGAGAAAGAGGAAAAAAGGAAATCAGGGGATTATCAGTTGATCCAATACCAAATTCTCCAAACTAATCTTGGGAGTGAAAGGGTCAACCCTGAGGGTGGCCAGCATCTAATTTCTCATAACTGTATCACTGCCAAGTCAGACATTAAACTCACAAATGATTGCAAATCAACAAAAAGATTCTCAATCGTTACACACTGCATTTCCTCGAAAATGCCGCTATAAGTTACAAAATTATATTACTTTATAAATTTCCTGGAAAATTAGTTCTTAAAGCGGCTCAAAATCATTTCCTTTTTTTCAAACTTCAATTCTCAAATGCATTGGCAAAACTATACTTTTCATGAGTTCCCTTACAAATGGTGTCAAATACATGTTAACTAGTTCTCAATATGTTTGATCATTTTCATGACAGATAGATAGATAGATAGATAGATAGATAGATAGATAGATAGTTGAATCTCAAAAGCATTGCAGCCCAAGGGCTGAATTACACATGTTTACAGTCCAAGAAATTTAAAACAAGACAAGTTAGACAAGCTAGGTTACCAGACAGTTACAATACAGCCATTTATGAAAACCCCTAACTTTGGCACCATGTTCCTGTGGCTCCAAACAGAGTTTGGTGACCCCCATTTTGTTTTACTCTTTGTGTTACTCATGCAATGCAATATTTACCATTTTTGTCTTTTTGAGTAGTGACATCATTTGTGGAAGAAATTCTATTAAACTGCTGTCTTCTAACATATCAAAAGAAATCAATAACATTTTAGAAAATAATAAAAGGCAAGCATTAATAATAATGTACTAAACTATGCACAGTTCCTCCTTTTCAGCTAAGTCTGTCAAATGAGTGAAGAAAAAATTAGAGAAAAAATTGATGTTAGTGTGTTGCGGAAAGCTCTTGAAGTGACCCTGAGGCGCTGTGGGAGCTCCACGAGTGAGGTGCTCAACAAGTAGATACATAATATAATACAAGTAGATACACAATGTATAAATAAGCGTCTATTTATATTAAGATCTTTATGGATCGGAAGGAAGGTCCCAGCCAAAGCGAAGTAGACCTCCTATTTAGCATCCTAGTCCTACTGAATTTCACTTATGGTGTCTCCATTTATGGTGCGGTAGATTCAGAGACCTCACGGTCATACAAAATTTCCTAGATAGGGGTTTTAAAAGGAAATATATATCAAAGAGAATAGACATTCGAGACCTATTACAAAAGGCAGAAAAGAAGCTCTTCAAGACACACTCCACTGACCCCGGATTGCCCACTAAGCAAAATTATTCCATAGAAAGAAGACACAAAATACAACCTAAGAAACAGAACTGTTCATTATCCTGGAATAAATTAGGAAAGGTTTAAGAATGTGTTTGTAAATAGGCTAGTTTTTAAAATATAATATTTAGATTATCATTTGTCAAGTTATATTTAATGATTCTTAGATTGTCTTTTGCATATTTTTTTGTGCGACTCTTTTAATGTTGTAACTTGAGATATGTACTTTTAGCTTAAGAGAATAAACATTATTATTATTAATATACATGATAGGGCAATTTTCAGATGAGTGTCCAATATAATCTGGGATTATTTTGGATTTGCTAAAGACTGTGATTGGTTTAGAAAACTTCTGCCACTTTCTCCTCAACCAGATTCAAACCTAAAGCCAATCGCAATTTGGGCATATACACAATTTTCAAGAATCTGACAGTTTGCTTGTTCTTACTTTGAATTCTCACTCAAGCCTCTTTATCTTTTTCTTTTGTTCAGATTAGCTGGTGTGACTACATAACTTTAACTATTCTTCAACCATGATAAAATTAAATGAAATTACAAATTATCATTAAAATAGTGGCAATCACCAGACCAAGTGCATATCAATAACCAGAAAATAAGACATTGATTTTACATTTTATTACCAAGTTCACATCAATTAAGGAGAAAGTAATCTGATGAAGCTGCAAATGCTTCATGCAAACGTACCGCAAAAAATTCGATTGCCGCGATGGTGTAGCGACGTACAGTCTCTGTGGGTATGGGCACTGGGTAATTTTGGCTCGAATGTCCTAACTGCCGAAAGTGACGATGCAGTGAGGGCAAATGGAGAAAATTAACTCCACATTGTGTACAATAAAAGGGGCCATGATGTGACTTTTTCATATGATCTGTTAGAAGACACCTCTTCCTAGATTTCTTGCCACATTTGGGAAATGGACACTTATAAATCCCATGAGAGTCTGCATTATTTATATATGTTTTGAGCCTGCAAAAAGAACCCCCACTCCCTACGTATAATGTGATTGTAGCATTTGAACAGCTCTCGTCTGAAGTCTGCGCGCAGAAGATCCTTTGCTGCGTTTGACATTGTTCAGTTATTGGGGGGATTGTAGTCTCTAAGGATATAGACTTGGATTGTTGTTTGCAATTGCGGACAGCTAAATCATCATCACAGGTAAAACTTGAACCAGTCAAAACCGTCTGTAGGCTCGTAAGAATTGTATCATCATTATTTTCGTCTTCACTTTCAAGTACAACATCAGAGCTGAATTTTGCAAGAGGGGCCTCTTTCTCTCTATATCTGCTTGAAACGACATTTTTAGCTCCATCGAACAGAGTTTCCAGTCCGGTTAAAATTGTGCTGCCAGCGTTTAATTCATCGTCACTTTCCAAAACAATGTCCAGTTGTAAATCGCCATCATCGCTCTCATAAGAATGCTTAGCAGCATTGGATACCTCGATCGCTACTACCGATAAAGGAGCCAGCAAAATATCCATATCTTCTCTGTAATCGAAAATAAGGTCTCGTTCACTTTAGTAGATACAGAAAAAAGTAAGAGAAAACCACTGATCGCTGAGTTTCTCATTCGTTTCGTAGGATTCCTTGAAGATTAGCCAACACTACCACCAATAAAGCGCTAGTATTTAATATCTTAGCAACGTACAGACCTTAAACTTCTATTTCAATTCTTGGCTCGCCCAGCCTAGAAAGTAGTTACCAGTTTGGCCAATCAGCTAGCGGTTACTTGACTTAGATCGGAAAACATCACAGCTGAGGTCATAACGGGATATCCCAATAAATTAATCGCTTGCATCGATAACTTTCACAAGATCGTCTTGCAGTGATCTTTTTCGCAAACCACATTCTATCTTTTTAAATCAATTTCATTTGGTTGCGTGGTGGAGTAATAAGTGTATTCTGAAAGTCTCCGGACCCGCCTAAATCCTTTGGGAATGCGCTTTGGGAAACACAAACTGAAACAGCGGCAGTTATGGGTCACTTCCCTTGCCAAAAGTTACTTCATGGCGCGAAATAAGTTAACTTCTCGTTTGAACATCATCCGATCCGGGATGAAACAAACCATAGACTAACAAAAACTAATTTTTTCGCTGAGAATTGAATTCCTTGACAAGAAAAACCGACTGGAGTATGATGATTTCGCGATTCAAATAACATTAAGTCCGGTTTAGTCACTATCTCGAAACTGTCAACATCAAGGTAATTATTTTCAACTGATATATCCAAGTTTCAAGTCATGCTGACTGGTAGCGTTGTTGGATGTATCATTCTAATTTTTGTTTACTTCTCCTTATAAATAGTGATTCGCTGTGCTTCATTAACGAGATTTTTTATTTTTCCAAAATACAGTTGGACCCCGATAATTCGAACTCGGATAATTCGAAGTCCCCGCTAATTCGAAGTAAAATTCATTTCCCTTGATTTTGCCCCACTTTTCTCAGTCATTTTACCTCGGATAATTCGAACTCGGATAATTCGAAGTCCCCGCTAATTCGAGGTAATTTCTGTTCCCTTAGGTCGGATTTTACCCCGATAATTCGAAGCTAAGTTACCAGCTGAATGAAAAAGAACAGACGCTGTCGGAAATTAGAATATGTATTTATGTAATACCAGTTTCGAACATTTCACAGCTCGTTAATCCCTTTATAATTGTGTAAAACATTTCTCTGTACATTAATCCCTTTACTGTATTGTGCGGTGCTTTATAAAAGTTATTAGTCGATGTGATGAAAATCCATGTGCCCAAATAGTTGACGAAAAATCCAATTTTAGTCTTTCAGCCAACAAGAGCACAAATAACCGAGGCTATCAACACGCTTTTGTCCTACAGTCTGTTTGCTGCAGATGGAGCTGACGAGATTCGTCGAAACATGAATCAGATCGCATTCATCACCGGGAAAAACATTCGTAAATCTCAGAAGTAGCTCGCAATTGACAGCTTTTTAGGCTACGCACCTTTTATATTGATCACTGTTCTGCTTTTTGTTTGTTCTTATTAAATTTAACCCTATAATTCGAATCCCCGATAATTCGAACTATTTTGCTTTGCCCTTGAGACTTCGAATATTATCGGGGTCTAACTGTACATCCTGTGCAAAATTCAAAATTGTAACGCAATCGTTACATGTCACAAAATAGGTAAAAAATGCAAGATAATGAAAGTTTTCGTGAGTCCACGTGTCGAGTATTATCGCGTTGAATTTCGTGATGTGTTATTTGAATTTTTCTGTCAGGACAGAAAATGTAACCCTATATTTGAAAATTGTCTTTAAAGGACCAATATCTCATAGCGTGTTTGTGGCCATACAGTCACGCGCAACATTTTTAAGATGAGCTTGTCTCTGATTGGCTTTGAATGGCACTTACAGGTTCTGCAGTTCTGTTCAACAAAACATGGAAGGTATGGCATGGTAAAAAAAAGAGTGCAAACTCTGAATTACCTTTCCTGAAAATCTTTACTTGGAATGAGACCTGCTTTGTCATGATTGCAGCCATCCTTTCTGGCCTGTATCAGAGAGAAAGTTACTTAGAATGTTGCTCCGCCTCTCGGTTAACTCAATGGATAGCGCGCTGGACTGTAGTGCGGCAGGTCGAGGGTTCGAGACCCGGCCGGACCAACACTCAGGGTCTTAAAATAATTGAGAAGAATATGCTGCCTTTCTATAACATCAAGAAATGGTTAGATATTCTAGTCTTCTCGGATAGGTACGAATAAAAGGAGGTCCCGTCTCCTGCAGGGTTAGGGCAGGAGACGTTAATTTCCCACACACGAGATTACTGTGTGATGGATTGTCCTTCCCTGGGGTGGGATGGGTGGGTAACAGTTGAAACCAGTGTTTACTACACTGAAGGGGCTATCCTGTATAAATATAGATGTCTACTCTACTTCAATTATTATAACACTAGGCCTTGGCAGTAACAGCTGGGAAAAGTTTTAGTTCCAGACTACTTCACTCAGAGATTAAACAATTTTTGCAGGCTCTCATGAGAATTAGCCCTCAAATCTCATGGAAAAACCAGTACAAATGCCTGTTAGGGAGCATTCATTATTTATGGGAGGGGGTGGGCTGGCAAGATTTTCAGTGAGACTAAACAAAATATCCTCACCCTGCTCCATAAGAATTAAAAAGTGTCATGACCCCTCTAGTTGTGATAGCAAAAATAGCTAGCCCCCATTCCCCCTAGGACTATCAAAGCGGCTAGGTTAAAAGAAGTGAAAAATATCTAAATATCTTTCAAATGTTTAATTTTATTGCAAAAACACCTTAACAATACAATTCTAGAGTTTAAAATCTACAGTTGATACAAAATAGGTAACATAATACAAGAGATATCCTATGGTACTGTGTCCAGCTTGGTATGGTGCTGTGTATAGCTTGAAGAACAATAGCTTTGCAGTGTATGCAAAGTTAGCTATTGTTCCCTATATCTTATATGGCGGGTAGTAGAAATGTTCTACAAACTGAAACCCACATTTGTAGATGATATGTAACAACAAAAAGCTTTTGCCCCCCCCCCCTGCATTATTCCCAAACTTTTCTAATGACCCCCCATTTTAGTTCCTGAATTTATCATGACCCCCCCATTATTCTTGCCAGCCCTTCCCCCCGCCATAAATAATGAAGGCTCCCTTAAGTAGGCAGCTCAAAGTCTGAAATGTTGCAGTCAACTATGATGGAAAGAGAGGTGAGCAGTGAAAGGGCTATGGTTGAGATTTTAGGGTGCAGAGGGGATGATGGGTGAGACAGGGGTAGAGCAAGGGTTTACTCTTTGACCCTTAAGAGTCATTAGTATCTAACCTTAGCGCTGACCTTATGCAATTTCTCCTTACAATATCAGTGGTTTCAAAACAAGCTGGCGACTGCCGGAGTTCTGCGGGCTACTTGATTGTATGTCGCCGGCTACTCTGGTTGTAACAGTCTGCTCGTGACAAACAATCTTGGCATTATCACAGCTGCCTACTTTTCCAGAGTCGGCTGCCTACTTCAAAACATTTTGAAACCCCTGAATGTCACCCTTGAATCACACATTAAGGTCTTGATTACTGAACAAATTCTCCATGTTGGCACCTTAAGAAAATGTAGGGGAACAGTGTGGAGAATATGCATACTGATGTTTTAGTGTAAAAGGTTGAGGTGGCCATAAAGTAAAGATTAAAGAGATTAATCAATGAAAAGCTAAGGGTGAAGGGGTTAAAGGTCATATGAGGAGAGGTGTGAGGTCATGTCAGGTGTGAGGTGAAGGGTGATTGTGTAAGGGGTAAGCAGTCGGAGGTGTACGGGATAGGGGGACAATGGCTGAAACTTAAGCGCTGTGGGTAAGTGATGAAAGGGAAAGGGGCCGTGGAGTCCCCTATCTTTCCAAAAAGTGAAGGCTACCTTGCTTAAGCTAATAGCAATGAAAACTATTCTCAAATTTTTACAGGTAAATTGTTTGATTTAACTCACCTGCCACCAATTGGCATCATCCATGTTCACCACATGTAGCACATCACCTGCCTTGAAGGCAACACCCACTTCCTTACAGGGTATTAGTGGTTCTTGCAGTGGTTTATAGTCAAAGAATGCTCTTAAACTGACCTATAGAGCATAAAATATCAAGGATACAAAATGAAAATAACATGCATCAGTAATTTTAATTGTTGTTTTTAGCAATGACCCTAACACAGTGCACCAGCAGAAGCTACAAGGTAATTTGGATATACCAACTAAGTTGAAATTGTAAATTGGCCACTGTAAAGAGTTAAAAAGCTGACATTTTGAGCCTTAGCCCTTAGTCAGAGCAAAGCTATGAGGTAGCCTAGCTAAGAAAATGGAAAAGGAAAAACATGCATGCCTGGAACTGGCTGTTTACAAAACAATACAGTCACAAAGACCGAATTACGATGGTCTTACCTGGTAACTCTTTACATCCTAACATCTAAATACTTATTCTCCATATTGTTTTTTATACATATCCTAATGTTCTGATGAGGAGAATTTGTTTAAAAGTCAAGAGCTTCTTTAGTTGGTGATCATTTCCTTTATTTTTGAGACCTCACTCTAGGTGGTTGAAGGGTAAAAAAAGACCTCACCACCAAACAACACAATATGAAATGTTCACAGTGGCAACCAACCTTAGTTTCTTTGGTAAGTTTCTTATCTTTGTTGGCTGGTAAAACCTTTATTTCAATACTCCCTGTTATTCCATCCTGGGTTAAGACAAAAAGAATCCCACTGTCACATTAACTAGTGAGTACTAACCTGGGAGGGGGGGGGGATGTAGTGGTCATTTGGTTAGTTCACTGGACTCCGAGTTAAGCGGTCTGAGTTCAAGACCTGACCAGAGTCATTGTGTTGTGTTCTTGGGCAAAACACTTTACACTCTCACAGTGCCACCCAGAAGTATATGTTGTAGTTCAATTTTATACTTGGTTCAAATTTTATTTTTCTTTGTTCTTGGTCATGTTAATATATGATAATGAGTTGAAACAAAGGAAAATAAAATTTGAACCAAGGATAAAATTGAACTACAACATATACATGGGTACTCAGGGGTTTCATTAACGTTTTCAGCAAGAGGGCAACTGGTTTTCACAGGCGGGCAAAACTTTTTGAACTGAATTTCTTAATGAAATAAACTTTCCTCCAGATTGTCAAACCAGGTGGGCAAAACCGTCCTCACAACTCATGTGGGGACGCAAATCGTCTGCACTGTAAGTATCCCTGAAAGTCCCATAAATTTTCTTAGAATAAAAGTCTAAGAAAATATATGGGACTTTTTGGGCACTCCAGGCAGCTTTCGTGTAAGGCGTCATAATCTTGTTGCTGCTGAAACCGATGTGACAGATAATTGCTTTTACAGTGTTTTCTTTGCCGGCTTATACTTCTCATCAAGTTTCAATAAGACGGCTCTCATTTTTTGCGAGAAAAATGAAGTTTTTGTAAATTATGAGATCGGAAGCAAGAGCACGTGTTCAACTAATTCGCTCTTCTTGCTTGGGAATACATTAATAAAATGTCGGCGGACCTTGAGGCGTCCACTAAGCTGGAAATACTAAATAAACGGGAGGTAAAATCGCGAAAAAATACTCCCGAGAAGAAACGAAAACAAAATAGAGAATGGAGAAAGCGAAAGCGACAACAGAAGAAAGCGGGTAATCTGGCTCAGCTCGCCAATACTGAAGTTCTGCCTTGTCATGATCAACGATTGCTTAAAATATTGCAGAGTAATTCTACAAACTTCTGTTGTGAGCACATACCAGTAACTATGCTCGCATAATGCATCACTGACAATGTGAGAGAAGGTCGAAAAACCTTTCCTTCGCACCATTTTTGGGGAAAATAACTAAGAAAACTACATGCACTACAAAGCAATCTGGGAAAAAAAAACAACATTGTCCAGATCCAAAAACAAACATTATCCAGATCCAACTGAAAGGGGCGCTAACGATATTAACCATGCAAACGCTGACATAAAAGCCACATATTTAATGGGTTAAATCGCCTAGGAAGTTTGATGTGTACTTCCAGTGCAGACGATTTGCATCCCCTCACGGGTCAATGTGCCCGGTGCCCAGGCCCTTAATGAAACCCCTGGGTACTGGTGAATTGTCAGGGAAGCATAATGAAATGCCGGAGGGGTGGTAACCTTCTGATGAACTAGCATCCCATCCTGGGGGGAGTAGGAATACTTCTAGTTGATTACTACCACAGGGAAACCAGGATAAGGTCAGGCTGGGTGGGCTGATGGGCTCGAATACAGACTTTACCTTTACTAAGCATACGGCCTCTCTCACACTTTCCCCCATAAGCTCAGAGTAATTATTAGCACTTTATAGTAGTTGAGTTTGTTTATCACCTATGGTAGTTTAGTCTAAGGTAAACACAGCGTAGCTGCTGTTGCGGCCATGAAATGATTTTACTTCCTTCATGGCATGAGAAAGAAAACAACTGATTGAAGATTAAGGATTCTAGACCAATCTATCGCTCAGTCAAACCAAGTCAGCAACTATGCTTATTACCATGACCTCTGCAACTTGATTGGCAGTCATTCTATCCACACTTCTACCATTGATTGCTAATATTTCGTCATCCTCAAACAGGGAAGCTTGAAGGGGTAAACAAAAGAAGTCAAAGACCTTAAGTAAACATAATGACCATTAGCCCGCGATGAGATGTCTTATTAGGGTGACTTAGCATTATGAGTTCACAATCATTTATCCAGCCAGCCATGTTTGATATGGAGTTGAAGTGGATGGTGGGGGAAAGAGAGGAAAGATATGATTTCTATCACCCCAACTCTCCCCTCTCCTTCCTTTTGACCCTTGCTCATCCCCCCTTGGTACAAATTTCTTTCTCTTCCCAGGCTTCTGCTGCCATAAAAATCATAGGTGGAAGCTATACATGTATGTAGTTTTCACCAACAATGAAAGTGCTGAGCACTCACTCTCAGGGTAAAGACACAGCCCAGGTTCGTTTTAGGGTCTAAGGTCCTCGATTATATTAACCCATTAACGTCCAGTGCGCCCGTATGCGCCCATGGGGACCCACACCCTTTCTACGCCCTGTGACGTCATCACTTTTAACCCTGGAGCACGAATTCGAGCACCTACTTGAACAGGTTGAAAATATCTTACAGACGATACCAGAATGAGCGCAATTGAGTGGAGGAGATTGGAGAAATAGCCAAAAAACCGTGTCACTTTGACCTGAAAATCTGCATGAAGATCGTGTTTCACTACCCACCTACCTTTCCGAGCATGTGCTTTGAAAATAATGAGTAGTTTCTGAAAAATCTCTACACCAAAATGAAGCCTACTCAATTTCCAGCAAGTCAGGAGAAACTTTAGGCAAGGAGAGGGGAAAAAAAGGGCAGGAGAAAGAGAGAAAAATAGAAGTCGTAAGTGGGGCATGACTTTTAAACCCAAAAGCTATGTCCAAATTTTGCTCTCTGCGCGTGCCCAAGATTTTCAGGCCGCCGTTTTGCATTTGGATCGAAAGGCCGTTGAGTGCACGAGCTGTCAAGTGGTTTTTGGTAAGTTTGAGCTTTTAGAACCACAACAGTGACCCGAAATCTGCTCAACTAGCTTCAAAAGACAGTTTTCCACAAAAGCTGCGGCCATTAATGAGTTAAAAGAGAAGCCTTGCAATTGCTCCAAAGAAACGCAAGACATTTCTCACCAAAGTTATCTGCTAAACCTCCACTTAAAATTCTCGCAACAATAATTTTCTCCTTGTTTTCATCGCTGTGAACAGCTTTAACTGTGATTCCCTGAAAAAAAATTAATGATTTTAAAATCAAAATTTATCTGAAAGTATGCATCACACTTTACATTGGTATTGCCCACCAGCAAGTCCAAAAAAATTTACAGAAGATTTTGTTATAAAATGGATGCTGTTAACTTTTGTTTCACAATGATCAGAATCATTTATCCAAAAGAACTATCTCAACCATTGGAGAAGAAATATATCTTCAATAATTTACATTAATAAAAGTGAATTTTTTTAGTAATGTAAATAAAGAAGTATGTTGAAGACAATTGTTTGGTGCCAAGAAAAAGTAAAACCTATGACAAATATGGTGCAAGACAATTATGATGTGGTTACCAGTATCCCCTCTAATTTCCACAAAACACATTAAACTAAGCTATTTTAAAAACATGATATAATTTGAGTATATCAACAAAGTTGAAATGGTAAATTGGCCACAATTATGGTTATAAAAGCTGACGTTTCGAGCGTTAGCCCTTCATTGGAGCAAATAGAGGAATTGTGGGTTGTGTGTGCCTTTAAAGGCAGAAAATGGAGCTACGTGATTGGTGGGAACATGGCAACGAGAAAAATATGAATAAATTAATGGAATGAAAAGTGTTCGTTTTAAAAACACTTACAAGGGTTTCTTTGGAATTCCTAAACAAGATGACAGTTTTGACAGCACTCTTACTGTACTGAGGCATAATCCCATCTATATTGCCATTTTCAATAGAGCACTCCATTTCTTTGAGTTGTTTTTCTTTAAGACCATTCTTTTCAGAAGCAGCTGCCATGTCAGACCTGTCTTTTTCAATTTCTGTTGCAATTGGAAAATCCCTGATGTGTGTCTCTTTGTTGTAAGTTTCTGGAGGGATATCTTTTTTTTTATCAGTTTCTGGAGGGATATCTTTGTTGTTGCTTTGTTCCTCTACTTCCAGGATGTGATCAGTGGCATAGGTTTGAGGAACTGTTGGCCTGTCCAACCAAAGTGGACCTGTTTCATCTTTTTTCTTATCTGCAAAGTTCTCTGACACCTCTATTTCATTTCCATCAATCTCATCTGTGTCTAACCACAAGAGATCTGTGTCATCATTGCCCTTTTCTGTAAAGTTCCCTACCACATTCCTGATTTTATTACCTTCGGCTTCATCAACATCTTTCGTTTCTAAATGATGATCACTATCAACTCCACAATCAACACAATCAATAACAATTGTAGCGACAGTCTTTTCAGCAGACAATATGCTTTTGTCATTGCCTCCAGCATTTCCCTGATGATGCTCTACGGAGATTATTTGACCAAAGTCTTCTTTTTGTGGCTCAGAACCCAAGTCAGTTAATACTGGCTCTATTCCTAATTCATCCCCAAAGATTACTGACGAGAAATCACCTGCTTGTATTGAATCATATGCTTGAAGAAGACCCTGAAAGTTAAGCCAAAAAGAGAATAACCAAAACTAAATTAGTAACATAACGAAAAATCTGCTTTTTCCATTGGACACCTAGGAGCGATAAACAACTTATTTCTCCTTGCAGTAAAATCACCCCTGAATAAAAAATTATGATCAAATAATGAAGCCCTTGATTGTTAAACAAATTCTCCTTGTCAGCACCAAGAGAAATATATGGAGAACAGTATGGAGAATATGCATACTGATGTTTAATAGGTGAAAGGACAACTGTTGTTCATTAACAAATCAAATCCATATTTTGAAAAGGTTCTTAATTGGTAACCAAATGAAAAAATTGATGAAGACTAACTGGTATCGACTGAATAGGATTACATGGCTGCATGTGTAGAGATACAGAATTTCTCTTTGAGTGTTGAAAAATTTTCAACACCAGAAGAGAAAGTTTGTGTCTCCAATTCAAGTGGCCATGTAATATTGTATGTATTATATAAACTCCACACTGAGTGATGAAATACTAAATAATTTCATTGAATATCATTTAAATCATTTCATATAGCAACAGTGATCTTTTCACCTGTGTGAAGATAACATATTATCTTTATGCAAGTAGATATAAAGTTTTTTGTACAAAAGCTCACTTATTTATTTATTTTTTACAACAAATTATAGTCATTATGAAATCTTAAAAACTGAATTCTGCCCTGAATTATATAAAAGAGAGACAGTAAACTTTTCAGATTCTCTACCTTAAAGTGTGGTTGCATTAGGATATGTTGCAGCTCTTGTATCTCCTTGTTGGTACTTGCAAGAGGAACGAGAATTGCCAAAACCTAAATGACAAAAGTGCATAAAATGTGTCTAAAAAAGAGGATATTGCGTGGTCACAAAAATATGAATTTGTATTTTTGGAGTCTTGATATCAACTCTAAAGTGAGTAAAGGAAAGGAGTGAGAGATATTCTAATTAAAGAAAGTCTGATTTAATTTTTTTTTTTTCAGGGTTTGTACCCTTTTTTGGAAACAAATTTCAAAGACTTTTCCAAGACTCATATTGATTTTTCCAGGACTCCAAATTTCACCTTAAATCCTTTCATTCCCAAGCTTTCAAAACCAATTCTCCTTACAGTCTACAAACATTTCTTATAATATAAATTCTAAAAACTTTTAATTATTGCTTGATTTAAGTGGTTTTCCAGGACTTTCCAGGACCTGTAGTCTTATTTCAGGACTTTCCATGTTTTCCAGGACCCATAAACTCTGGTTTTTAAACCATCTACCATTAGCTGATAATAAGATAGCTGGCATGAAAGAGAAATTACGGATGTTGTGGCCTTGAGTTTTTACTCATTGAAGCAACACTGCTATTCATCACCAGAATTAATTAAGAGAATACAAGAACTACATTTTCTAATCATTAACATAAACTAACCTGGTCTGCAAAATCAACTGCTCTCTTGCCTTCATCGTGAAGTTTTTCCTTCTCATTGTTATGGAACTGTTGGTATTTGAACATAAATTATGATAATGAAATAAAAATTACAACCTTGTTTGGTGTAGTTCAGTAAAAATAAGGCCCTTGTGTACAAAGTTCACAAAAGGTATTCAATAATGAAATAATCAATGAAAGATGTAATTTGTCTTCTTTGACATCTTCAATTTCTTTTGATCATTTTTATGACTGAGCTCAAAATTTACCAGTCAAAGTTTACTTTAATTCAAATCACAGTTGACACTACTCAGATGCAGGCTTTAACATTAAAGACTTTAACTCTCAAGATCAGATTGTCAATTCTCCCTTCTGGCTGCCACTCATTTCTCTGTAAATTAGTTACAAGAATTTAGTGTTCGATCAAAATAACAACTTCTACCTGATAAGTAATGAGCATTCTCATTACCTGTTTGCTGGATAATGTATGGATATTATAGGGAGAAGTTAGATATCAATCACACCAGGAGTTAAATATTAATTGCTGGCCTACTTCCCCGTCAAGTTGTCTGTAGCTAAGTGGTTGAACACTGGATTGCAAAATGAGACTCAGAATATTTTCTTTGTTCTGTACTCATGACTAAAAATAAAGCATTCATTTATTTGATAATAGGTCCCCAATGCAAATTTGTTGTCTTTCTTGTTCACTCAGGGTATAAATCATGGATAAATATAACATAATTAGAGGTCTCATTCAAGGGTACATGATAAATTTGAAGTCAGGCCTGTTTTGATCTCCCTCACATTAAGCTGAGCTGAGACCACTGTTTGACAACTTGAGATCCAGTTCAGGATTCTGAGGCACAAAGACATATATAAGCAATGATGTACAAACCTCAAAAAATTTCCAAAAGTCTTTCCTGCTGCCAAAAAACTGGATGTCAACTTGATCTTGGTGGTTATCAAACTTGTGACGAATCTGTTCTAAGCAAGATAAGAGCCTTTGGAAGGCTGAAAAAAAATTGACAAAACACCGATCAAGTTCCCTGCTCATAATTAAATAAAGAAGTGATCGTCTCAGCCAGTTCAAACGTAAGGAGAATCTGCTGGAGAAAGCTGCCACATTCACCATTTTTCAGTCACTAACACAAGTAAATTTTAAAACTTTGCCTCATACGCAGCACATCTTTAAGATAATTTACGAAACAGCAAAGAAGCAGAAAACTTCACTTAATCTGCTCAGGTAGGGCACAAAGGAACTTACTTGGGTCAACGTCTTTAGCTTGGAAGATGTACGACATTTTTTTTAGTTAGAAAAGATATTCGGTTTGAACGTGTTCGTAGTGAGATCCATCTAGAATTTGCAAGCGCTCAAAAACAAATCAACGATCTAATTTATTCTTAATTCCTATCAAGCTAGGCTCGGTTAGTCAAATAACTACTGAGTAAACATTTATTCAGCGCTGAGTACAGTATCAATAAATCCGTCGTCAAGGAGAGATATATGGTTAATTCATTTATGAAAAAAAGAGCGGTATCTGAAAAGTAAGATTAAGGATAAAATACAGATGAGTTGCAAAATTTCACCTCGCTTACCTAGGATAGTCAGTTGCTTCGAAAAAATCGCGCTTCTTACATTTCGTTTCCAGTACTTCCACGGACGTCAGCGCCTTCAAGTGAGTGTCGCGCAATCACATTTGGAAAAGTCGAAGCTTTTAAAATCTTAGTCTCGCTGTTATTCCTTGAAAGACGCTGGTGTATCCCCACTGCTTGCAATACTGATTACCACTATCACTATATGATAACTGTAACCGAGAATACATGTTATTGCTTCTTTCTCATGCAGAGGAATGACAGCAACAACCTGCAGGGCCTGTTGCTTAACGTGACCAGATGTGTGTGACTCACTCTGGAACGAGCGAGCAAGAAGTCACGCGCGTCTGATGTTTTTTCACGCGAGTAAATCGTGTTCTCGCCAAGCGTCTGGTACTTAAGCCAGGATTATTCTTGGGAGGGGGTATGCCATTAATGAATCAACTAACTGATAGGTAATGTAAACAAATTGTAAAAGCAAACAATGAAAAAGAAGGCCTGTGGCCAGGTAATAACATATGTGAACTTCTGAGGATATATAGCAAACACTGAAACAGATTTTGTACAACTGTGAAATTATATTAAAAAGTTACAGGTCATGTCAGTTAGATATGTCCCCGCAAGCTTCATGAGTGCAGAAGGAGGGAGGGGGACAGATAGGAGCTTGATTCATACCTGGAGTCAGCTTACATACATATAATAATAATAATAATAATAATAATAATAATAATAATAATAATAATAATAATAATAATAATTTTATATTTATATTGCGCAAATTAACATGTGAATATGATCAAATGCGCATCACAACACTTTTCGAGGGAATTTGGCCGGACTGCATCAGCAGGAAACTTATTTGAAGATGCCCCGTCCCACCCAATTCCCATTAAACAGGCCAGACCACATCACAGTAAATCTCGTGAGTGGGTTCTTTAACGTCCCCTGCCTAACCAAATTAAATAATTAATAGACGCAGGAGACGGGACCTACGGTTTATTCGTCCTTATCCGAGAAGACTAGAATGTCCATCCATCTCTTAATATTATAGAAAGGTAGCCCATTCTCCTCAGTTATTTTAAGAACTTGAGTGTTGGTCCGGCCGGGGCTCGAACCATCGACCTCGACCTCCCGCACAACAGTCCAGCGCTCTAATTAATTGAGCTAACTGGGAGGCATACATACATACATACATACATATGTTAATTGACCACTCCCCATGGGGGCTTTTCAGGGCCAATTCCCACCCAGCAACCACCCCCGGGGAGAACATCCATCACACAGTAATCTCATGCGTGGAAAATTAACGTCTCCTAGACCTCTATTTATTCATCCCTATCTGAGAAGACTAGAGTATCAGCCATTTCAAATTAAAATAAAAAATGTTAATTTTTTAGTAATCTACAGATTGACTGTCTGCAAAAAGTTTCTAGCATTGTCAGCTGAACTGGATAGTGCTGGACAAGAAGAAACACTGGAATATGCTGACCTCCTGACTGCATCTTATTTTTTTCCCAAAAATTTATTTTGTGCCCTTTTGGTTTCCTCTTCTTTACTTTAAAACAGAGTCAAACTTCTTCACCAGAAGAATGACCCACATTTACTTAGAGAAAATTTACGACAAAATCATCAACCTCTGCAACGGCTGTTATTACATTCTGAAGCAGCTGTTATATTAGAGAAATCACCTGTAACATAGTGATACCTAGCCATACGAAACATGAGAGCAAGAGCCATCATCACCAGTTTCATCAAGCGAGTGCAGCCATGACATAGCATGTAAATTTCATTCGTACAAGCAAGTAATATACCGGTAACTAAGGAAAAACAGACAATTTTATCATGACAATAAATCTTAAAAAAATGTATTAATTAAATCTGTTAGTGTGATAAAATAATTTTTTTTATTAAGTTGATATTTAATTAACAATTGACTATTTCTAGCCTTAAGTCTGATTTTCATGTTCTCTCTGTATGGCATTTTTAATATGTTCAGAAATTGCAGCAAGTGGGTTAGCTTTGAAGGCTGGATGTTTAACAACTTGTTGAAAATGGGCAATTTCACTGGCACTGCAAGTTAAGAAAGAGAAAAAATAATATATATTTAGTAATAATAATCATGACGGTAATGGGAATTAAGCAGTACACATTCCATATAGGTGTGGCTCTTTCCATCCAATGTTTCCAGGTCGAATTAGAATTTGGAATGTTGGTTTTTGTAGAAGGAGAAAAACTGGAGGACCTGGAGAAAAACCCTCTGAATTGGAATCAAACTGGGGCTACAGTGTGGGGAGGTGAGTGCTTTCACCACTGCATCATCCCTGCTCCCCTATTTAGTACTTAAGTTATGATTTATTGGATTAGTTAATCAATGAATAATGTAAGACTTCTTGTAATGCAACACAGAATGGTCACTCACTGTAGAGCTTGGCGTGATTTTTTACTCATCTTGTTTTGAGTTTTAGTAAGCTTCTCTTTTCCATTACTGCAGGAAATTGAAATTATGAAAAAATCATTGTAAAATCACAGTGAGCTACAATTATAAATCATCACAATGCATACACGTAGTACAGATCAAGAAGTTTCAATAGCATACTACCAGACTTGGCCAGGCTAGGAGGTTGACCACTGCACTAAACTGAGATCAGTCCCTGCTTTTTCAGTGAAGTTTGTTTACTGGAATAAAAAAAACTGATGTTGGCATGTCACACAGAACTCTAGCAGTGAGGCATACAAAGAGTAGGTCTCACTCCCAGAGTTCTGCATGATGTGCAAACATATTTTTTTATGCTTTTGTTTCACATCCACAAAAGACTTGACTGAAAAGAAAGGACTGCTTCTAGTCTACCTCAGCAACTGAAGAAGTATATAAGGAAGAAATGTCACAATCCACATCAAGAGTGATCTCATCACGAGAAAAAAAAATTACATATTACACAGTTGTTGTGCCAAACTACTGTATATCAAATTAATGTAACTTTTTTTGTTATATAGAATCCACATCGTACCTGTAGTTGACAAAAATCATATGTACCCTTCTCATCAACTCACCTATCATTGGAAGATTTTGTGCCTTTTGTAAGATCTGGTATGTGTATGGTTGGTAGGGCTGATAATAGTGGTTCCATGTCACCTACAACAACTGTCTTTGCCCTCTCCTTTGCTTTTTTGCTGCTTTCTTCCACAAGTCTGCCAGCATGCAGTTCTGCATTGAAATGAAACATTATTTCATATCTAATTCACTTTTATTCAGGACACTACAATAATAATTATAATAATAATAACACCTTTATTTAGACACGATAATGTTTTTAAAGCTGAACAGCTTGTGGGGTCATGTGTAAATCTAAAAATAAACTCTAAATTATATAAATGGTCACCCTACACCAAAAAGAACACAGAAAAGCTTGAAAAAGTACAAAAAAGAGCAACCAAATTCATATTAAAGACTGAGGACAATTATGAGGCTCGTCTAAAGAAGTTAAATTTGATGTCATTAGAAAATAGAAGATTTTTAACTGTCGTTACATTTTTATATAAAGCCCTCAATGGAATTATTGACATTAATATTGACTCTTATGTTGATTTTTATTCGGATGCTGACCATTATTCAATTAGGAAATATGATAATTTATCTTTAAAGAAGAAATACGCAAGAACAAATCCTCTCAAATATAGTTTTTTTTTCAGAGGATAGTTGATTCCTGGAATCTATTGCCCTTTGATACTCGTAGAGCAGCAAGTGTAAATAGTTTTAAGCCAGGTGTTAAGTATTTAGTGGATAATATATCTAATTAATATATTCCGTGGAATTTTTATAATAATCATTTCTAGTTTAAAACATATGTAATATATTTTTAGCCTATTTAACTTCGGTGATCTGTTTTCATAATTATGGGGTCCTGGATGAATTATCCATATGGCGTTTCTTCTCTTTTCGCTTGTATTTTATAACTTTATTGGTTTTAACTGTGCCACTAAATTGTAATAAATAAATAAATAAATTCAAATGATGATGGTTTTTGAGGAGAGGGGAAAACCTGAGTACCCAGAGGAAAACCTCTCAGAGCAGAGTAGAGAACCAACAAACTCAATCCACTTAAGACGCCGGGTCTGGGAATCCAACCCAGGACACATTGGTGGAAGGCGAGGGCTCTCACCACTACAAGTACAGTTTAACTCCAAATATTTGACCCTTAGTTCTCCCTTACTGGTTCTATACCTAGGGCTCGACACTAACTTTTCAACCTACTAGCAACCTACTAACAATTTCACTTTGCTTATTAGTCAAACTGCTTGTGGAAATCGAAAACCACTAGCCAAAACTGAAATTCTACTAGTCCGTGGCTAGTTGGCTACCATTAGTGTCGAGCCCTGATACCCTTCCTTTTAAGCTAAGTTAAGAGAATTCTTTGTTCTTGATCAGACAATGTATTGATGAAATCATTACAAGAAGAAACAATTTTGCAAAAGCACCTGAATTAAAAGTGAACCAAAGCATTTGAAGGCAAATGATACCAGTAAAAAAATTGCTTTGCAAATCAGCTACACCAGTAAGTTCCAGCTGGATGAAATTCATATACTTATGTTTTTTGGCTCACTTTGAACAATAGCAAAAGCCAGATAAGCCAGTTTATTGGCTGTTTGGCTAAGTGATCCTGAGTTTTGTATTATCCTTAATTGAAAAACATAAAAAGATATTGAAATAAATCTTACAGAAATCATACTAAGATCTTTGGTAAAATCTTAGCAAGATCTTAGACAAGATCAGGCTGTAAGATCATCCATGCAGCTGCAGTGTAATGTTCATATCTTTCTTATGTCATGTTAAGATTGTACAAACACCAAGCAAAAATCAAAAGATCTTAGCAGAATCTTGGTGGGAATTTCAAGAAATCTTTGCAAGATCCTACCACGATCGAGGTTTGCTAAGATCTTGACCGGATCAATCATTCCAGAACTTTCATGATCATAGATGAACTTAACAAGATAAATAAATTATCAACACGATTAGCCAGATTCAAGTTTTAATTAGGAGTTAACGTATCTGGTTCGACACGCAAATCAATCTTACCCGTAGGGAGAGGACGTCGATGAAAATTATACAACGTTAACCTTTAGGCATTTGTAATTGCAGTCAAACACTCTAACTTACTTCTCAGAAAACGCTCATGTCGTTCTTTTCTTCTATCCTTTTTGTTTGATGGAGTCTTTAGGTCGGCAGTTTGACTGTGTGTGTCTTGGTTGTCTGTAGATTCATCGGGTCGGGCTTGGTCAATTGCATTAAACAGTCCCACAGTGGTGAATATGGCAGGAAGAGAAGACTGTCAAAGAACAGAACAGAACAGAATAAGTAATAAATAATCGTAACGGTGATATATTCAAAGAATAAGTAATAGCATGGAAGGCACGTGCATGATTAATTTGGCGATTTTGATTTTTCAAAGCTAGCATTGGATTATCATAAAGGTCAGAATAAATAATTTCTCTACCTCATTTGCCTTCAAAACGTCTTCTTTGCTCGTTACATTAGCGGGTTTTACTGCTTGTAAATGGAGTTTCTTACGGTTTCTTCTAATCTTTCCCATGTTGTTCTAAGATGCTTAGTGGCCTCGCCTAGCTGCACACTGTGGGAGAATGGAACAAGAAGTGGGCAAGTAATTCATGGCAGTCTCCATATAGACTCCCTGTTACCCAGTCTCCATATAGACTCCCTGTGACCCATTCTCCCTGTGTACCCTGTGTACCCTGTGTACCCTGTGTACCCTGTGTACCCCTGTGTACCCNCACGGGGTACACAGGGTACACAGGGTACACAGGGTACACAGGGAGAATGGGTAACAGGGAGTCTAAATGGAGACTGGGTAACAGGGAATCTATATGGAGACTGCCATGAATTACTTGCCAAGAAGTGATAAGTTAATAAGTACTTGCTGTGGTACGTGGTCATAGTTAACTATGCTGTGGTGAATATCATCACCATGCTAAAAAGGAGATGTGGCATCCACAAAATGCGTCCTATAATATAGTTTAATTTGACACCTGTTCTGAAGACTAATGAGGCAAGAATGGCCAACAGTCTCATAAGGTCCTAACTTCAGGGGATATCTATGCCACTCTAAATGACTGTGGGGTATGGGGTGAAAAGAAAACTTAAACTTTCAAAATTTTAATAAGCAAGGGAAAAATAGGGTGAGTCTTCATTGTAAGGTGTGTTTTTCATAAATAAAGTTTAAAAAGTTACAAAAAGTTAATAACTGAGGCCCTCATAGGGCAAATTCTGACGGGCGACATAGCGTTGAAACAGCGACATTAGGGAAATAAAAATAGGACTTCGAGCACGACATTGATGAAAATTGCAACAGCAACATCAGAACCTTCCAAAATGGTGATGTGACAAAGTTTGAAATTCAGATAGGTGACATCTATACCCCCTCCCCCCCCCTAACAGGGCCTCGTAACTTTCTTTTATTCTGGGTAGTATCAATTACAACGTGCTATATTTAACAATTATTCCACAAGCGCGCGTTGGATATGGGATGATAGCCAAAGAAGCGCATAGCGCCCAGTTGGCTATAATCATCTCATATCCAACAACTGCGAGTGGAATAATTATTTCATTGAAAAAATGCCTCCAAGATATTAGACAAATCTTCTCAACTTTATTTTAATTTGTAAGAAGAAACGGGATGTTACAATGTACAGATATTAGATTATGTATGGAAAGCCATACTGGACAAAAGTGGTCAAGAATAATTTTGTCGGCCGAGAAATAATTTTGTCTTTCGAGATATATGTTCGATGGTCCAGAAATATCTTTGACGATTGAGAAAACTTATCCATTGGTCGAAAAATAATTCTCTCTGACGAGAAATGTTTGTGGTAAGTTCAGAAATATTTTAAAGAATCGAGAAAACTTTATGGGTCAAACAATTTTTTTACTCAGTTGAGAATTTTTTGGTAGATCGAGAAATAATTTTGTCGATCGAGAGTTTTTTCGCCGATCGCGAATTTTTTTCGCCTATCGAAAATTTTTTTGCCGATCGAGAAATTTTTTGCCAATCGAGAAATTTTTTGCCGATCGAGAAATATTTGGCGAGCGAGAATTTCCCTGAAGGTCGAGAATTTTCCTGAAGGTCAAGAATTTTTTTTGTCGGTCGAGAATTGTTCTGTCAATCGAGCTGGTCAGCGGGCGTTTCGCGCCAAAATATAATCACATGGGACATCACATGGTACTAACGAAATTAAGAGACGGATTGTTAACCCAAAGTAAAAAGTTGCGGGCGTTCTTGACTTGCTCACAAGTCGCGCTTTTGAGCGCGTAGCGCGACAGTGAGCTACCACACCAGAATAGAAAACGAAGCGAGCGACTTTGAGAAAGTCTACGGGCGTTCTGAAGTGTCATTAATTATTGTAACAATGTTTGTACAGCGGCTTACTATTGTTGTATTGTTATGGAATTTTAAATCGGTGAGAGATAACGATGACGACTTAGAGAACTTCTTTTTGTCTCTTCACGACTATGTTTCGCAAATACGATCGTGAATTTTTTTTGTCCATCGCGAAATTTCCTGTCGATCGAGAATTTTTCTGAAAAGTTCGGTTATCAAAATTTTACCGATACGCGTTACGCCGGAGACCATTGCGGCAGAACAATTTCGAAAGACAGAAAAGCTCCACACGGTTTTTTTAGATTGGTATCTTGGGAGCCTTCGGACCAAATTTCAAGTCAATCCGTAAAGGTTTCATTCCCTAGTAATCCTTTCAAAGAAGACACTCTCGCGTTAAAACGAAGTGGATTTTTTTCGCATCTAAAGTTTTCCAACATTTCACGCCTTTGGTTGAACACATGTCAAGTTAAGTCAATACTCTGAAAAACTCGAAATGCCGACCGCATTTTTGTAATATACGCATCCTAATAGAATCTTCAATGCATTGCAGGCATTCACTGAAACTAAAGGGTTCTGCAAAAAGAGCCTGTGCTACGCCAGATACGAAAACCACTAAGAAAAAACACTCTTTAGACATGGCCAAAAAAATATGTGGAAACGTATGCCTCATCTCATGCAGCAGCACGAAACCCAGAGGAAAGGGTGTAAGCCTGGTTACACTATTAATCACAGAAAAGTCAATGAATGTAGTGATATTTTGCAGAGAGTTGTAAAACAAAATTACATCACAAAAAGAAAAAGGAAAGTGGTCAAATCTAAGACTGATCGACCTGAAATTACTTAATTTTACCCGGCCCCATGCGATTACGTATACTAATTTGTCTAATTTGTTTCAATGTCACTCAAACGTCAGTAATTGTGTGAACTGTAAAATATGGCTAAGCAAGGTATAAATAAAAGAAAAACTCTTTTACGTTAATACAAAATCACGAGCGAAAACAGAGTACGTGTTCATTTTATTCAATTTTGCAAGTGTAACATGCTCTACCTTTCTAGAGCCTTCATCATGAAGAAACATTGGGCAAGCTCGGATTTCATAATAATAATAATAATAATAATAATAATAATAATAATAATAATAGGACATCGAGCTGAGACGGACCTCCTTCTGACGGATTTCGGCGTACGCTTTCCCGTGTGTATATTTCCCAGCATTTTGTTCCCAAATCTTGCTGAAGCTCCCAGAGGGAATGAAGAAGATATTGAAACATCTCCTTCAATACCTGATAGCTTTGAGAGTTGGCGAGAACAAGCGAAATAGCAACGACACTTTGGACTTGCCCCTCCACCCGGTCGTACAGGTACTTGACATACCTGAGGTTCTGATACGATGAAATATGTGAAGTTCATATATTTTGAACTGCGGTATTAGATACATATGATGCACGATCCTCGCAGTAGATAGCGCTATTTAAGCGCTATTTATCTATAGCGCTATTTATCTATTGCTTAAACAGCGCTATCTACTGCGAGGATCGTGCATCATATGTATACCTGAGGTTATTACCATCCTCGGAAATCCAGGGGCTGATTTCAAGGGGCTCGATTTCAAGTTAGGGCATGAAGAGCCCCTGGGGACATTGTCTTACAAGACTAGTTCCAAACGGTCGCAGTCGTTCTGCCATCTGATTGGTGCCAGAAAATCTGTGTTTTTCTGCCCAATCAGAGTGAAGTGTGCTTTAGAGTCCTTTCGTGTGTTTTAACACGGACATATACTAGTGTGCGACAGAGATTTTTTCTGCGCAATCAATTTTCTGGCACCAATCAGATGGCAGAACGACTGCGACCGTTTGGAACTAGTCTTGTAAGACAATGTCCCCAGGGGCTCTTCATGCCCTAACTTGAAATCGACCCACAGCCCCTGGGTCTCCGAGGATGGGTTATTACAGGCTCTGTTGTGTTCTATTTGCGAAACTCAGTCGTGAAGAGACAAAAAGAAGTTCTCTAAGTCTTCATCGTTACCTCTCACCAATTTAAAATTCCATAACAATACAACAATAGTAAGCAGCTGCTAGCTGTACAAACATTGTTACAATGATACTTCAGAACGCCCGCAACTTTTTACTTTTTGGGTAAACAATCTGCCATTTTCTTTAGTACCATGTGATGTCCCATGTGATTATATTTTGGCGCGAAACGCCCGCTGACCAGCTCGATTGACAGAACAATTCTCGACCGACAAAAAAAAA